TGCTTGGTGCTGGCTTCAATCCCACGCTGACTGACCAAAAATCCGAGTAGTTGTCCTGAAGGAACTCCGAATACACATTTATTTGGGTTCAACTTCCATCTCCATCTCTTCAAGTTTTCGAATGTTTGCTCTAAATCTTCAATCATAGTGTCTGGGTTCTTTGTTTTCACCACTACATCATCCACGTATGCCTCCACATTTTCACCGATTTGATCCCCAAGGCAAGTTTGGATAGCTCTTTGGTATGTGGCACCGGCGTTCTTTAGTCCAAACGACATGGTCTTGTAACAGTAAGCACCGAACGGAGTAATAAAAGATGTCTTGCTTTGGTCTTGTTCTTTTAATGCGATCTGGTGATACCCTGAATAGCAATCGAGAAAGGATAATAGTGCAGACCCCGCTGTCGAGTCGACTATCTGGTCAATGCGTGGTAGCCCGAACGGATCTTTTGGGCAATGTTTGTTGAGATCCGTGTAGTCGACGCACATACGCCACTCGTCTGTGTTCTTCTTCTGCACAAGGACCGGGTTTGCTAGCCAGTCCGGATGAAGGATTTCTCTGATGAATCCGGCTGCCATCAGTTTTGTGATTTCCTTTTTAATCGCTGCCTTTTTGTCGGGTGAGAATCATCGTAGCCGTTGCTTTATAGGCTTGGAGTTTTCATTAACATCAATTCTGTGCTCAGCCAACTCTCTTGGGACACCTGGCATGTCGGCCGGCTTCCAAGCGAAGATATCTTTGTTATCTCGAAGAAAGTTGGTGAGCGCGAGTTCTTATTTTGCCGAGAGGTGAGCACTGATGGTTGCTGTCTTGGAGGTATCGCCGGTGCCCAAGTTGATTTGCTTGACGTCGGCTTCTTTTGGTGGTGTGATGATGCTGGGCTTTTTAGCCGGTATTTCTAATTCTTCTGGGCTCATCTCCGTAGCAATTGTGGCTATTTCTTTTCTTCCATTATCGGCTTGTGCTTTGGCATAATTTGATTGCTGAACGTCATAATCAAAAGCACGCTTCAAATCGCTTGAAGAGAAAGGATACCGTTGGGTCCTGGCATCTTAAGCAATAAGTACGGATAATATGGTATTGCCATGAATTTTACCACAGGTCTTTGGGCGTCCGAGGATTGCATGATATGATTTAATCGAAGTCTGCGACCTCAAATTTGATAAACTCTGTTCGGTAGTTCAAGGAGTTCCAAAAGTAACGGTAAAGTAACTTGTCCGAGTGGCATGGCTGCTTTGCTGGTACTATTTCGTAAAAAGGAGTGCTTGTTGGTGTAATCATCCCGTGAGTTATAGTCCCATCTTCCTTAGTGTTTACGAAAAGATGATGTTGAGTCCAGGCTCCTCAATCGATTAGTACTTTGGTGACAGTCATACCGGCAATAGTTGGGTCTAGAACTAGTGGGTAATGGCTCGTTCCCTCACGCTAGTCCATTGGTCTTCTCTTGAAAATTAGATTGGATATTGTGACCAATTGAGATATCTTGGTGTAGCCGGTTCTGCCGTCATGATAGTCCGTAGTGCTAGTTTTTCTTGATGTTTGCTTCGCAATCTGGAGCCCCCGAGAAGATCATCGCTACCGTTCCCCGGTTTTGAAATCCTTTGTCCTCGTGGTTGTCTTTATCTTTCTTCTCCGATTGTCCTCTTTGGTGTTCTCCTTACTATCTTTTCTTGTGTATCGATCATTGAAAGTGTAGCGATTTCGATGGTGTGTCTCCCGTTAGGGTGCAATGGGCAACGTATGTTTTCAATGTCATCATATCTTCTAGGTTTGGAAAACTTTTTTGATTTGTCGGCCATTGCCACAATATTGTCTGGTCTACGTTTTCTTTCTTGATGTCTGCTATTTCGATGATTTTGCCTGTCCAGGTTGTCCTGGTTGCTTCTATCCAGGAACCTTTCTCGCGTTTTTCTTCTGCGCATAATCATTTTTTCTACTGTTCATCTAAACTCTTCATTGTTTCTCGGATTTTCTTTGCAGAAGTCTTGAAATTGCCACCTAGCCATGATTCCGTGAGAGAAAGCTTCAATTACTTCTCGTTCGGTGATGTCATGCACTTGAGCCCGCAGTCGCGAATCGTCGATAGTAATTTACGAGACTTTCGCCCCCTTTTTGCTTGAGTCCTTTCGATTCGCATGAGTGATCGGGTGTGTGATGATACCCGCGAAATTTTCACAGAAAGCTCTTTGCAAGTCTTCCCAAGTTCTAATCGACCCTGGGTTCAATTTATCGAACCATTAGAGGGGCATCGTTTCCAGTGCCATGGGAAAGAACAAAGTTTTGATATCATCGTCTCCTCCGGCTAGTTCAATTGATTGTGAATATATTCTCGAGCCATTGTCTTGGTTTGGTTTTTGCCATCATACTTGGAGTGGTTAGACGGTTTGAATTTGTGAGGTAATCGTCTCGATGCCAACTTTGTTTTGCAAAATGGGGGAATCATCGTGCGTTAAACTTCTTTGAATTTGAATTCGGCTCCTTCTTCTCGCCAAGTGTTGTTTTGATGGGAATAAGTCTGCGAGGTCATTCTGGTAGGCACCCTACTCCTGGTCTTCCTTGGTTGTTCAAATTGGTGGCCCCAATTATGTTCCTTCCTACTTTCTCCGTTATGGCTTCCACACACAGGCCCAAGTCTTTCGAAAGCGGACTTCCTTTGATTTTGATCTTCTTGCCTGCGGGTTGTTGATCTGGCGGGTAGCCTCGATCGGGCTCTCTCTTCATGCGTTCTTGGGATCGTCGACCGGAGCAAGTCCTGGAGCTGTTCGTACTTCTCTCCGTGATGTGAAGTTGCCCTGAGTTCTTCTAATGCTTCTCAAATCTTATCGTAAGGCGTATTCACCGTGCATCTTTCTTCGGCTTCTTGTTGTGATTTTCTTTTATCGTATTCAGCCAACTCTAACTCGTATTTGGTCCAGGCTTCTCTACGCTGCCTAGCGTGGTGTTGGCGCCCTTGCTTCAACTTGTTTTTCCTTTCTCTAGCCTGTCTCTGACTCTCGGTTTCTCCATCGTAGCCCATGAGCACCTCCCGTGCATGAGCCGTTCCGTTATTGGTGTTAGTTTTTATACTGTCGAGAGTTGCTGATGACTTTAGTAGGCGCCTCGATGTCGCAGATCGAGTCTCCTTCTTGGTAAGGTAGAATAGTTGTTGTTGTTGTGCCAACTAGTTGGGTTCCGCTATCTTCAGGAATGGAACTCGCGATGGATGATCTGATTTTGCGATGTTATCGTTAGCACGAGACCCTCCCGAGCTCCCCGCTGGTGGTATCCCAAGCATTGGATTGAAAGACCTTTCGAATCGTCCCCGATAGGATTTTGTCGTGTTGTCGAGCCCAAATGAAAAAGAACTCGACCTTTTGAAAGAACTCTGAGGATAATCCGAGTTGTTTTGGGTTGTCCTCTGGAATCCTACCAAAAAAGAACTCGGTTTCTTGAAAGCACTCGAATAAGACTTCATCTCGGACACGGGCTTGAATTTGAGTCGGATGCGCGTGTCGTGAAATCTTATTCAACCGGTATTATGAGTCACGGATCTTCTGGTGAGCTGATCCGTCGTAGTTGTCGAAATAGGAAATTCTTCATGATGATCTGGATCTTTGAGGAGATGGCTTTGAAGCCTGCCGTAGTTGTCCGCCTCGCAGATCCATGAGCCGAAGATGAAAGTTAATCCCATCGGGAAGATCATGTTATCGAGGTCCATCGAGCTCTCGGATGTAAAGTCACCGAAATCCCCTACCTGGCGCGCCAGCTGTCGATGTTTCACCACCGATAGCCTGCCACGGGGGTACCCGGCGCAGTATGTTCGGGCTTCGGCGTATGCTGAACTCGATGGTAAACGCAAGAGATAGTCGATTTATCCTGGTTCAGGCCCTCGATCGTAGATCGAGTAACGACCCTACGTCCAATCGGCATTAGCCTTTGCGTTGGATTGATTATGAAGTGTTATGTTGTACAATTGTCGTCCTCTTCTCTCAGGAGCCCTGCCCTCCTTTATATAGTCAGGAGACCAGAGTCCTAGTCGGTTTACAATGAGATTTCCTAGTAGGATTACTTAATAGTTCTACTACTAAGATTACATGGGAAGAATCCTAGTTGAACTAGATCTTCTCTCTCCCTTGCGGGGTATCCTGTGGGTCCCGCATCGACAGTTAGGGTTAGGGTTAGGCGGTTTCTCCTTGTGCCCGTAGTGGCTCGGGGTAACTTCCCACATGGCGTTGAGGCGACGGCCGGTGGTGGTGACGGTGTGGAGTTCGATCCGATTTGAATCACCTCCTTCTAAATGCTAAAACTTAGACTACCCCAAAATAGATCCGCACTCCAACCTGGCTCTGATACAATCGATGGATTTCTAGGACCATCTAGGTGCAGATCAGTGGGTAAAACATAACTTAGATGGGAGACTTGATGATGTACCTCGCCATGCGCAGTCACGGCCACGACGCCACCATGACATGGCCACTAGAGTCATAGTAGGGAAAGCCATGTAGGCGCCCGCTAGGTCGTCGAACGTAGTAGCATTGCAGGTGCTGTGCTATGGCGACGGCGAAGGCCCTTCATGTCGCTCATAGCACCCTTTTCGATTGGTCTAGGGTTAGGAACTTCGGGGTGGGGCTGGCGATGACCGATGACCTCATCGTCTTGTGCCTCAGCCCCCCCCCGTCCTTTTATGGCGCTGCGCGATAGGGGCCCATCAGCCAGGAGAACCGGCTGAGCGCCCCCTATCAGGGCGTGGATCAAGGGCCCAATTAGTCATTGGGCCAACTGGTGGAGATCATCTAACAATGTAATGCATTGCCATCTCATGGTGTGCTTCTTCGACTTCAGTCAAAGACGGCCAGCTTGTTGTACTTAGGTCCGGAGATGGCCTTCTCCATGATAGCCCTAGGGATGACGATGCCATCGCTGTTGAGGAACAGCTTGAACATGTTCTTGGAAAAGCCGCTGACGAGCACCACCCCCTTCTAGCCGGCCTCCACCGGCATGGCCTTGGAGTCCCTCAGGTTCTAGAACACCACCTCCAACATAGTCGCGCCATACCCGACATCCGTGAACTTGCGCACGATTGCCTCGTAGTCCGTCTCCCATGGATTCACCGACGCCTGGTCGAACTCCATGTTGCTGAACACAAACACACATCGCACTATCCACTCCAGCGCCAGCCTGGCGCCCATAGCCACCTTGAGGATCTTGTCAAACACCGCCTTGAAGTTAGTGTTCATGCCCCAGTCCATGGTTCGAACAAAGCTTGTCTTCTTGTAGAGGGTCTCGCCGGCGATCTTGTGGAGCTTGGGCTGCTCGCTGAAGATGATGACGTGGCCGTGCCAGGGGTCATCGCTGAGCTCGAACATGAGGAGGCCTAGGGCCACGCACACGTCCATGGGTAGGCCAAACATGATAGAATTCAAGGATCATCTAGGCGTAGATCAGTGGGTAAAACTCAACTTAGACAAATGAACTTGCTGATGTACCTCGCCGCATGCAGTGGTGGCCATGGCACCGCCGCTGGCCACTGATGTCGGAGTAGAAGTAGCATCGCAGTGGGACGCGGTCTAGTAGCGACACGAATGGAGCTTCCCATCGCTTGTGACAGAACCGCCCAATTTATACAAGATCAAGTACGGCTGTCCCCGCTAACACGTTGACACACACATACTTTCACTTATATAAACCCGGTAGTTTGCCGAGTGTCCTAAAAGACCTCATTAAATCAACATCACAACCAAGATCGCGTGATTAAGCAAATACACATCAAATACGCAGAGTTGCAGCAGAAATAATGTTACAAATGGGTTCACAAATAATAGTACAAGTTTGGGTTTCAATACTGATTATTGAAAACAATATAGCTTTCAAATGATTACATTAATATAAGTTCCAAATGCATTGCTAGCATAAGTGACATCCTCAGACAAAAGCATATAGGTGAGAAGTAAATATAGAGTCACCGAGCCCACTGGCGGTTAGCCACCATCATCAACAGGTCGAGAACTTCACCTGCAACAAGGTGGGATAAACCCTGAGTACTCGAATGTACTCAGCCAGACTTACCCATCGTAAACCAGAAATAAAACGACACCAAGGATTATGCAAGGCTTTCTTTAGTGGGCTAGCTGACTCATTTGCGAAAAGCATAAGCTATCATGAAGAAACCATTTTAAGTACTTTGCATCATCTTTATTATAACCTATCCATCTAGGTAAGCACCTGTACTATAGTAATCACTTGATTAACCAATAGCATCTAGTTACCAATTTAGATTCAGCATATCTCATACCATCCAGATAACCATCATTGTTCCATAATAATTACTATGATGCCGTAACTCGAGTCAAATGCTCACTATCCAGGAGCGATGGTGATTCGAATCGATTTCTAACCAGCTGGTGATTTATTCCTTACACAAACCTCACTCACCCGCTAAAGTGAGGTATTGATCACCGAGTCAACTATCCAGGAGTCTCGAGTTTGCCAGGAACCACATGTACCCGGGGGCCGACCGACTGCACTTTGGTCTTATCATCTCGCCCCCGTGTCCTACCACACCTGCTTCGGCATAGTGCGCTGCGGGCAATCTACTCGGCCCGAATAATCTCCTAGTTTCGCGGTCGGAAGGTACTTTATCCGGCCAGCTAAATATAAGGCATGCGTTCAACATGACTCAAGGGCCAACAACGGTCGGTCCTTAATCAACACAGACGGAAACTAACAGCACCCCAGAACCATGTCTGGTTGCCTCCAACTTTTCCGTCCGGTCTCCAATTATCCATCACACATGGTTACTTCCAGGATATCATTCTTTCCATAGCTAAATTCTTCCAGTAACCACCTATAATGTAGGTGAACGGATATCACTGATTGCTACCGGTCTAAGCAAGGCTAAGAAGTTATTCAATCCCGACCTAACAGGGTAATAAGGTAATAAGGTAGGCAAGGATAGTAATAAATGCATCAACGGTTTCAATCAACTCCTACAACTTAATACAACAATATATAAACTCATATATATAGAAAGAATTGCTTTTATAAATTAGGAGACTTATAATGCTCCGGGGCTTGCCTGGGATCCGACATAAGTCAGTTCAGTTAGCTTGCACCGTCCTGGTGACATCTTAGGTCCTATCACTCGCTTAGTCCTTCCATCTTCGGATAGATCCATCAAACACTGTCTTCGGGTTTGGCTCCAACATCTCATCCTTCACATGGTGCATCTAGCGTACCTAGATGAGATGCAATATGCAAATGCATAAATATGAAGAATAGTACCATGAGACGCATCACAAAATAGCAAGCAAGACAAGCATAGTTTACACTAACACACTTAAGTACTTCGCGATGCTTAACTTAAACATCACACAATCTATCATGCTAAGATGGCAAAGGAGACGACAACACCAAGCATTACACAAGTTTTCCCAAGATCTCAGGTGCTCTAACTCAGTCATCATTCAAAGCATACGTCACACTTAACAATATACAAGCAAACACTATAATTGGAATCTACCAATTTCTGGACATGCAAACAGCAGCTACAAGATTTAGCTATATCTGGAGTTACACAAATCCAAATGACTTGCAAGAAGACATTATGGAAAGCTTATGAAATTTTCTACGACTCATCTTTAATCATCTTAGCATGATTCTCAAGTTAACTAAGTCAAATATACCTATTTACAGAAACTGGTCCACAATTGACAGAAAGCAACCATTTCTGAAACCCAACTTTAAACAGGCATAACTCACAAACCACAAGGTCACATACCACCAAATTTTAACAGAAGCTAGATACATGAATTATCTACAACTTTGTTATTCTTATATTAAGATGATTTTACAGTTAGAAGGGTCAACTAATGCAATAATTGCATCTATGTCCAAAACATAGACAGAAACTGACATGCCACTTTAAACAGCTATAAATGGAGTTATACATGCACTATAAATGTGATTCTAGACTTTTTAGAAATCTTAGCAAATTCTAAACAACTTTGTTGTAAACACCTAAAGCTAATTATACTATTAAGAAGGCCCCACAATAAGAACAAGGAAACCCTCTCTGGGTTTGAGCAGAAACAGCCACAGAGATTTAAGCAAGTATAACTCAAGATCTACTTAACCAAAAATCATGATATTTAACTTTTTGGAAAGCTTAAGAAAAGTAATACAACTCATATATTTTCACCAAGTCATGATTCATAACTTAACTAAGCTAATTAATTCAAACATGCAGAACTGTTCAGAGTAGAAGCAAAGCAATACAGGGCATTTGTTATTTTTACAATTCTTAAACTATAAATCCTAAACTCCTGAAATTTTTACCAGACAACAAAAATCACCTTAGTAGCACTCCACAAACATTTCACATTTATTTGAGCATAAAAACTGCAGTTATGAAAAAGACAATTAAGACTAGCATTCAAACCCTAACCTGCATAAATCTATTTTTACGGCAGAAATTTTGAACTCAAGAATGCCATATTATAGATCTAATGCATAGACAATTTAACAAGGATTCCAAAAAGTCTTTATTTACTATTTTACGATTTTTCTACAAATTACTACGAATTTTCAAAGTGGAGCATTCAAATCTGCCAAAATCAAAAGAAAAGGAATCTAAATCTTGCACTAGGGTCCCTGCAGAAAACATATATTAAATACGAACAAATGAATCCTTTCTGGCACTATTCACAAGAGTCACTGTCTATTCACTTAACCCCCTGGAGAACATCATATTCATGCGCGTGGTCCTTCTTCTTCCTCACCTGGCCGAAACAGAGCAGCGTCGCCGGCGCTCGCGATTCAGGTGGCTGTGGTCGTCGTCGGCGTCGGATAAGTTGCAGGGGAGCTCCCACGGGCCTGCACACCCACGTGTGCCCACTCAGATAGGCCGGAGGTGGGCCAGGTTGGCCTAGCCACGCCAGCGCACGCAGCGTCATGCATGACGACGGCGCACCCGGTGGCGGCCATGCCATGGCGGTGAAGAAGGGCCGGGAGGGACTCGAGAGGCCAAGGAGAGGGCGGGCGGAGCCGTGGTGCACGCGGATGGACACGAGGAAGCTCGGGCGAGAGGAGACGCGCGTGGCGAGCTCGGCGGCCACCCGCCATGGCGGGACGCGGCCGCTTCAACGCCGCGAGCATGGCACCAAGAGCGAGAGAGCGCCGGGAGGCGAGAGGGAGTGAGGCGAGCGTCTTTGGGATTCGATGCTTACTCAAGTAGGGCGCCTGGGTGCGCGGGGGCAGCAGCGCGCGCGGCATGGTGGGGCGCGGCCGGCATGGTTGCCACGAAGTCAATTCATCGAGTACGTGGCGTGCGTTGCTGTGCCCGACTTGGAGTCCGTTTTCGGCATATTCGGTGCAGATTCGGACCTTGGCGCCTATAGAAAAGTTGTTGTCCTCATAATGCTCTTCTACTTGTATTAAGGAAGCAAGACCATTAGAGCTATGGATTAGTAGGTAATTAAGCTCTAAATTAACAGTGTCAGTGTGTTGACAGCGATGAACAAAAGCCCAAATTGATGCTCAAAACGAAGTCCAACGAGTGCCATCTTTATACATGCTCATCTCCATCATGTACACTCCAACTTTTATCTTTTGACCAAGTTGAGTTGCTTAACGAATTTTGGAGAACGCGGAATGCCAACGTCGTTGCTTAGCGAAACTCCAGACTTAGAATAATTCTAAGTGCTAAAGACTGCAGCAGAATCAATCTTGTGACCTCTATTTGACTTATTTCCAAGCTAATCTAGGTCTTAGTGCAAAAACAAAGTTTCTTCTACATAATATGAACTACAACTTTTATTTAAGGTCCAACATCAAATCTTGTATAGAACCTACAGTTCTACTTTGACCAAAGTAGGATCACGATAAAGCTTAGATTATCCTTTTTGATCCATTGGAGCATTTTCTTGGCATTTTCCCAACATGAACCTTTCATGACTTTTGTTATAGAGTTCATCTAGAGTCATTTGGGCATGGTTGCAAGATTTGGTTGACGACCGAGGATTCCATTCACTTTATAAAATAATTCAAGCTAGGACATAACTCGTCATTTCATGTGACTTCTTGATTCCAAGCTTCACGAAACTTTTCCATGGATCAATATAGATGGGTATTGATATGAGACACATGAAGATATTCCAATAACACCAGCCAAGCATATATCTTGAAAATGGCCTATATGTAAAGCAAGGGTGCAATATCCAAGTTGAGGTTGGGGCTCATTTCCATAGGTTTGACCTTGACATCTTCATCATTACTTAATATGCCATATTTGAGCTCAAACCCATTGCTTAACTAGTGGC